TCCCCAAACGTGACTGTGTAAACAGATTTAGGTCCCCACACATCCATTACTCATCCTCCTTACCCCTCACACATCAGTACAACCTGGACATCATTAATAACACCCCTTCACCGACGCCAAACACCTTGCAGGCATTCCAGATGACATCTTCCCCACCAGACAAGATATCATACACTGGTCCCCGGAATCAGCCGCACTCATTTTTCACAGCTGGGTACAACAACTACAACTGAATTTCTGATTACTCCCGAAACCAACCCGGGACACACCACAAACCCACTCACACAACACCCACCACACCCGGACCTGGGGTGGAACTCATCATCAACCCTTCTTAACTTGTCCAAAACTGTTCTACCCCTCTCGCAGCCCACAACAGTTACTGCAGGGGGCCGTCACATTCGTCCCACGTCCCTCCGCATTCGACTGGGAGGAACTTCATAGGGACCTACACCACGTACCACACGACGTATCAAACTAATCAATTACTTTGACCCCAACTCACCCATCCAACCCAGACTCTTTATGCATCCCTCCAACTGGGAACCCCTTACCTCATAACTACACACCAGCACACAGACACTCATACACACAGACCTACAGGCCCTGGGCACACATCGGCCCCCACCAGACGTCTCAGACAATCTGACAGGGGCCGAGCGCAGGGCCCTTACACAACTCGCAAACAACACCAACATCATCATCAAACCGGCCGATAAGGGCCACATTACAAACGAGACACATTACAAACTTATACCAACATCCATACAACTACAGACACTGCAACTACTTCGGCCCATCATCACCTCCCTTTACACCAACAAATTCATCTCCTCAAAACAAAAAGACTACCTATTCGGCCCCGACAACCCAAGCACCCGTTTATTTGACCTTCTTCCCAAATCCACAAGGATCCTTCCACCTGGACTGTTCCCTATGAGGTTCCCTCCGGTCGACCCATCGTCTCAGATTGCAACAGTACATCCTATAACATCTCCCAGTACGTGGAACACCACCTAGGCCCCCTATCTATAAAACACCCTAGTTACATCCGAGACACATACCATTTCCTGCAATTGATCAGACCCATGGTCGTCCCGAATCAAGCCTATCTATTCGCCATCGACATCGACGGCCTGTACACCAACATCAACACCGTCCTTGGCCTGCAGGCAGTGTCCTCCACCTTTACCCATAACCCGGATCACCTCAGACCAGACTCCCATATCCTCCAATTACTTTCTATCTGCCTCAACAATAATGATTTTACCTTTAACAACCAACACTTCCTGCAAATTCACGGGACGGCCATGGGCCAACGCTTTGCACCCTCATATGCTAACATCTATATGAGCGAGTGGGAGCGAGAGGCCTTGGACAAATGAACCCTCCTGCCATCCCTCTACCTCCGTTACCTGGATGACATCATCGGCATCTGGCCCCATCCCATTAACTCCTTTCCCCAATTTCTCAACACCCTCAATAACCACCATCCCTCCATAAAACTCAAACACACCATACACGCAAATGAGATTAACTTCCTGGACACAACACTCTTTTTCCAACCACTCAACCACACACATAAGAAGATATACACCAAAGTGTACTCACACACGCACGCACGCACGCACGCACGCACACACACTCACACACACCACCTTTATCTATTCATTCCATACACTTCATGATAGTGTTAAGAGAGTTTACTCAGGATGTTCATAATCTTCTCTCATTTCGGTTTTAATTCAGGCAGGAGGTGTACAGTTCCTCTGACAGTGAGCATGAGGAGGAGAAGGAGGACGAAGCAGGAAACGACGACCCAGAATTCAGTGCAGACATTACTTCCTCTGAGGAGAAGGACTCGGGTACTGTCAGATTTAAAACTGAATGAGAATACTTATGTCTAATCCATATGACTACATGTTGTCCATTTAGGTGTAACCCCTTGTGTTTGAGGGTATCTGCTCTCTGTAGTAATCCTGACCTTTATTCACTCTATGGAGGGCAGCGTTTGATAAAAAAAGACAATCCAGACATCAAACAAATAGTATTTTGTTATTGGAAGCTTATGATTATTGTTCTCTTTCATACAACAGGTGGCTCAGATGAAGGTCAGGACTGGGAGCTGATGAAGGTTTGTGATTTATTCATGTGATAAGACTTGTATTAGATTCAAAACAATAGCAAACATTACAAAATACCTTTTTAGTGCTTTTCAATTATTATCAAGACTATTATTATTTCACTGGCCCACTAATGATTAAATGACACAGTGGGAAAAGTGCAATGATTGTGTTTTATCCTATGTTTAAAAGGGCCACTTTAACTTGAATACGGGTATACAGTAATGTAATTGTGTGTGTATTCCAAATTGTTATTATTGTTATTTCTACATCTTATTCATGTACAGCACCAAACACCTAACAATACACAATGTTTCCCTTTTTATTCCTTCTTGATAAATACTTCCTAGTTTTTAATCACTCGAGTGTAGTGTAACTAGAATTTAGGAGTGCCAATCTGGACAGGAACAATTAATAATCCCTACCAGAAACAAGATTCCTAACTGAAGCAGGTGTTCACAACTTGCTACTCCTACTGGCTGTCAGTAAATTATGTAATAAATAAAATAAAAACTTTTTTTTGTTATTGTAAATAACAGCAACAATTAGAGTTTCTGGAGAATAGTCATAACGTTCTTTTCTCCAATTAGAGAATGGATCTTCTAGTTTTACGTCATTTTGGGCTCATTTTGTACTTAACTTAACCCTCTTTGTGCATTTCCAAACCAATTATTGAAACATGGTTGGTATCAGTAGATTTGTTCATGTTTTTCTAGTTTAATATGGTATCAGGATATTTACTGTACTTAAGAACAGAGCTCGTTACTGCATTTTGAAAAGAGTAAAGTCGATGGGGCTGCGCGCAATCCCGTGTTTCTCTCAGAAAATGTATTTTAAAAGGACTTCTGGACAAGCTAGAGAGACAGAAATAGGCTAATGGGTCAAGTAGTATTCATGATTAGCCTTGGAATGACACACACACACACACACACACACACACACACACACACACACACACACACACACACACACACACACACACACACACACACACACACACACAAAACCCAACGATCCTACCAAGGCTTCCTCCCGGCGGAGATGATAATCAGTACAAGCTTTAAGAATGTAGAAGGGACAGTTGATGAACAGTTCAGCTGCTGCGCCGCTCTGCTGTCTCTTTTAGTTTCCTGTCAGTACTTCAGAAGGACTGAATTGGTTTAAGGATCTCAGGGTTCACTCCACCACACATGAGATTAAATCCTCTGTGATGTGCCCGGGGGAGGAAATACCCCGCTGAGCCTTAAAAATGATAAAAAGCAACGTGAAATCCAAAGTGTGCACACTCAAAACTAGATCACACAACCTCATCTAAGCAGTGTAAATCTGCAGAGAAATTCACACTTTTAGTACTAGTCAAGTTGAATTTCCTAGAACTGCTCCATGGCCTTTTACTTCAATGAGAATGTGTGCTTCACTGTATCAACGTGTACTTCCCCTGTGTGCCTCCTCTCTAGCAGGAAGTGGTCAACCAGGTCACGTCTGAGCCCTCTAAACGTCCCCGGAGGCGCTGGTCTCAGCGTATATGCGCTCTAGAGCTGAAGGTGAAATCCATGCTGGACCTGAGACACCTAGAGAGCTTTTCCCATAAGAAGAACCCCAACTGCTCACCAGACAGAGAGAGAGGGAACACGTTCAGCCTGCAGGAGCCCATGGTATGCATGGATCCGTAGCTGTGTGTGTGTGTGTGTGTGTGTGTGTGTGTGTGTGTGTGTGTGTGTGTGTGTGTGTGTGTGTGTTTGCAGAGGTGGGAAAAGTACTCAGATCTTGTATTTAAAATTACCAGAGTGTAGGAATACTGTAAACAAGTAAAAGTCCTGCAATCAAATATACTCAAAGTACCAAAAGTAAAAGTACTCATTATGCATTTACATTTCATAATAATATATATTATATGTTTTGATCATAATTACTTATGCAGCAAAGTGTTATCAAAGCTGGTGAAGGTGCAGCTAGTTTTAATTACTTGTTATACTGCATGGTAGCTTGTGAATTTAGTCCAGGTGTAACTAAAGTCTGATTTATGTGTTTATATTTCACATCATTAATCCAAATAGCTAAAGTAACTAAAGGTACTAAATACATGTGGTGGAGTAGAAGTACAAAGTAGCATAACATGGAAATACTCAAGTAAAGTCCAAGTATCTAAAAATGTTACTTAAGTACAGTACTTGAGTAAATGTAATTAGTTACTTCCCACCTCTGTGTGTGTTTTACTTTGCATAGAGCTTGTTTCCACATGTTGCCGCCATGCTTAAAGCAATGGACCTAGCCTCTTTTTTCTGAGTGTTCCCCAGTTTTTTCTCAAGTGGTTTGATTTTAAAATTCTTACTTAAAAAATAACTGGAACGTCACACTATACATTGGTGGCAAAGCTTGTTTTTGACTGTTTCATAACAAAGATGGAAAGCCCTTTCGTTTTAGCAAATTGGCACAGAATACACTGGGTCTCGACGCTGGTAGGTGTTTAATCGCCGTACGTGGATGGTCTTCCTCGCTTTACAGCTGTCTGACTGAGTGATGACAAGCTCGTTTGTACAAAGTGTGAGAGTTAGCATCTTTCCGTTGGTGTTCTAGGTGAAAAAACGGTGTCAAACTAATATAAATTAGCCTTTATAGATAGATAAAAGGCAAGGGTCCAATGCTAGTCCGTCTTATCAAATCGATGATACATGTTTACGATATACTGTAGATGTCAAATAATCATTAAAAGAAGAGGTGGGAGGGTTTATGTTTAATGAAATGCTGGAATGAGGCTCTGCCCGGCACCCTGTCTGCCAGAAAAAGACGCTATGTGGACACAAGGTCTTAATCCCCTCATTTTCTGCAGCTGCAGTTTGAGGAGAGAGCCAAGAGGCATCGGCCCTGGCCTCACGCTGCCTGGCTGCCTTCAAATCCATCCAAGGGCACCGGGGGGGCTGACGGGGGGGCACCGTACTGTGAGGGGAGCGAGGGTGATGCTCGTCTGCAGGCCAGGTAAATCCCTCAATCCCTACACATGCTTTCAGACCACAATGACACTGAAAAAGAACAAAAGTGCCTTTCTATTCCTGGTTTCAATGTGTCCCTCCTCCCCTCTGTTCCTCATTGTTTCCACCTCTCTCTGTTTGCATACGTCAGTGATTACACGGTGAAGGAGCAGTGCTGCAGGACGCAAGGACGAGGGGTCCGCAGTGGGAGCAAGGAGAGCCGTAGCCCGGACAGTGCCTGCTCTCTGGGCTACAACAGCAGGGGCTCCAGCCAGAACAGTGTCCTGGACGGTGAGGCCTTAGAACGCATCAAAACAAAACAAGCAATACTAAATAATGAGTGTAATTTATTTTCTTTAATACTTCATGCTATTTAGAGGGGAGGCACAAGGGCACAACAAGTGAACATTAGCAGTTAACCTGTTAAGCCCCAAGGTCCCCGCCGGCGCGGACCCTGTTTTTTTTTTCAGGACACTGTGTCTCAGGGGATTTTAATATTTAAGAACCTATTAATTTGTTATACCAGATTAACGGAAATAATCTCAGCTAATTGACGATATAAACCATTTTTACCAAAACAAAACCCAAGTCTCATAAGCAAGCCCGCCTTAACCTGCCATCAGGCCCTGGGGCTGATAGTTTTTGTAGGCCCCCTATTTAAACATCAAATCAAAGTCATTTATAGCCTCGGCAGGCTCTGTGATCGCACTTCTCCACTCTGCTCTACACGCGCCTGGTCCTCTCCTCCATATGAGTGACGTATCGGGCCTCCCTCATGTATTTGTCCGGTTGCCGTTGCCCCTCCACGTAGCAAGTCCTCGTCGTCCTCTCCATCTCCTCCAACAGATAATGTCCCTCCTGTCTGTTTTTCCTCTCCCGCTACTCCATCGCTATCAGAACCAGACGGCCTACTTGTCTCCGAGGCCCCGCGGCCGGCACCTCTACCGCTCGGTACAGAACTCATCTGTCCTTCCTCCTCATCCTGGCCTACAGGTTTAAAATAACCTGTAAGCTTCGGCATTTTTTGTAACAGCTGCTTGTTTCGAAACTCCTTTTCCCTCAACAATTTCCTTTTCCGAGCGCCACTCTCAAACTTTTTCTTCACTCAATCACTCGCAATTTGAATAAGTCACATGTGAAACATATTCTCATTCTGACGTGTGTGTGTTTGTGTATATTTGCGTTTGTGTGTATTGTGTTTGTTTCCCGGAGAAAACACCGGCTGTAGTTATGCCTGCTGTGACGTCAAGTTACTCCGTTCTCCGCTTGTAATTATGCCGTTACAAACTTCAAAGTTGTATTTATCATCTGAATTTGCCGAAACAAGTTTAATATTCTGAAAGCCAAGACTTTGTTTTTTTTAAAATCAGATGAAGACAAACTGTAACGGACCTTGCTGTGTTATCTATGATTACTATACGTCTTACATTAATAATTTCAGTGGAGGGAGGGGGGCGGCGCTGTGGAACAGCAGAGTGGTGAGGGAGAGCTGTTGTCTTCCCTTTACAAGCTTCAAAAATGTATTTATCGTGTGATTTTGGAAATGAAAGTTTCATATTCTGAAAGCCAAGACTTTGTTTATTTAACTTTTTTTTTTAAAACACCCGAAATAAAAAATAAAAAAATTGGAATTTTTTTTTTTTTAATTTGGCTCATGATAGGCCCCCGATCACCGTAGGCCCCTGGGCTTCAGCCCAGGTCAGCCCGTGCATTAAGGCGGCCCTGGTTACACCCAACTCTGGTAGTAAGTCTAAGACCACCCCC